GGCTGGAGCAGTGGGGAGGGTGCTGTCACTGCTTAGGGTCCAAGCTGCAGCTCCAGCTGGCCCACAAGACTCGGACTGCCAAATTTCTATCATCACTTGGCACGGAAGGTGCTTAGTGACGCCACCAGGAGAAGGGGCTGGTCTTGGGGCAGAACTATTCCCACTGGCATTGTAAAGGGGAAGGAGGGTTTGGCTCTCTGGGCCTTTCCAAATCCTCCATGCTGGGGTTTGGGCAGAGCCCAGAGCTGCCTCGAGGAGCTCCCAGGAGGAGCCTGCGTTGGCTCCTTCAGGATTGGGAGTTTCAATCCAAACCCTCCCCCTTGGGTTGCTCAGCATAGCTGCCTGTGGTGGGATGGGGACTTTGGGTCTTCAGCAGGCTGGCACGGGAACCAGTCCCTCTGGCTGAGCTGTGCTCTCTGCTACTTCCTTGAGCTGGAGACAGCCTGATCTCCAGCATGGGGCCCAGTCTCTGTGGCTGCTTCAGGGACTCTCAGAACTGCATCCGCCTGCACCAAGTTCCTGGGGTTCAGGGCTTCCTTTACAATGTGGATCCTGGCTCCCCTCATCACTAGTCCCCACTGGCTGACTGGGTCAAAATCTCAGAGTGATTTTAAGAGCTCTTTTGGGGGATTTGTCCAGACAGTGAAGTTAGAGAGTGACTGCAGTGTGGGACCACGTTTTGTTCGTGAAGGCCACGGATTTCCTACCCGTTTTCAGACATTGCAGAGTAGGAATTCTTGAAGATGTCGGGTTCTGGCAGAGACGGTCCAGTGGGTGCGGGGTCACGTGGCCTGCGTTTAAATCCTGACTCTACCACTTACTAGCTGGGAGACTCCAGACACACTAGTCCTCAGTTTCCTCATCTGTAAGAAGGGGGTACTGATCCTGCCCCTCTGGAGGACCCCCACACTTCATGTTTTCCCAGACCCTCAGAATGTGACTTTATTTGGAAATGAGGTCTTTGCAGATGTAATTGACAATTTCCAGATGAAATCATCCTGGGTTTAGGGTAGACCTTAAATCCAATGACTGGTGTTCTTATAAGAAGAGAAGAGGACACAGAGAGATATGCATGGAAGGGAGAGGCCATGGGAAGCAGAGGCAGAGAGTAGAGTGATGCGGCCACAAGCCAAGGAATGCCTGGCACCACCAGAAGCTGGAACAGGCAGGAAGCTCTCTTCCTTAGAGTCTTTGGAGGGATCGTGGCCCTGCTGACATTTTGATCTTGGAATTCTGGCCTCCTGAACTGTTAGAGAACTAATTTCTGTTTTTTTTTTTTTAAAAGATGACCGGTAAGGGGATCTTAACCCTTGACTTGGTGTTGTCAGCACCACGCTCAGCCAGTGAGCGAACTGATCATCCCTATATGGGATCCGAACCTGTGGCCTTGGTGTTATCAGCACTGCACTCTCCCAAGTGAGCCACAGGCCGGCCCTAATTTCTGTTGTTTTAAGCCACCCAGTTTATGGTAACTTGTTATGGCAGCCCCACGAAATGAATACACACCCTCAAAGGACATATATCACCTAAAGCTTTTGACACACAGTAGGTTTCAATTCACTATTCATAGTAGGTGTTCAATTCACTGTTATCCCTGTGCTGCCTACCCCCTGGGGTGGGAGAAGGTGTGGGAGACACATGAAGAGGGGACCTCAGGGTAGCTCTGTAAACTTTCAGGGGGCAGCCTATGGCCCTGGAGGGGACCCATGTGTCCAAAGGAGCATCTGGGGCATCCAGGGGCACTGGGCTCCTGCTGAGGCTCTCCTGGCTGGCTGAGGCTGGAGCCCTGGAAGGACAGAGCTGGAGGGAGAGAAAACGAGGCATCTGCTGGGAGGGGCAGCAGGGCCCGGGGNCAGAGAGTAGAGTGATGCGGCCACAAGCCAAGGAATGCCTGGCACCACCAGAAGCTGGAACGGGCAGGAAGCTCTCTTCCTTAGAGTCTTTGGAGGGATCGTGGCCCTGCTGACATTTTGATCTTGGAATTCTGGCCTCCTGAACTGTGAGAGAACTAATTTCTGTTGTTTTAAGCCACCCAGTTTATGGTAACTTGTTATGGCAGCCCCACAAAATGAATACACACCCTCAAAGGACATATATCACCTAAAGCTTTTGACACACAGTAGGTGTCAATACACTATTCATAGTAGGTGTTCAATTCACTATTATCCCTGTGCTGCCTACCCCCTGGGGTGGGAGGAGGTGTGGGGGACACATGAAGAGGGGACCTCAGGGTAGCTCTGTAAACTTTCAGGGGGCAGCCTATGGCCCTGGAGGGGACCCATGTGTCCAAAGGAGTATCTGGGGCATCCAGGGGCACTGGGCTCCTGCTGAGGCTCTCCTGGCTGGCTGAGGCTGGAGCCCTGGGAGGACAGAGCTGGAGGGAGAGAAAACGAGGCATCTGCTGGGAGGGGCAGCAGGGCCCGGGGTCGAGGCCTTCGGGAGGAATGCTCCCCACCATGAATCACAGCTTGCACCACTGACACGTCACACCCAACAGGAGGACAGCGGTGACCTAACACTGGTTGTCAAACACTCAAGGCCCCTCCCAGCACCGCCCAGTGCTTCCGCATTGCCCAGAGGGAGCTGTCCCCATCCCACCCCTGCCCAGCTCTGTGAGTTCTCTTCCCTGCACACACAGCAGGAGAACCAGACCTTCCGAGTCAAGACTTTAGTGGCGGTTTATTATTTGGATGCTTTTGGAATGGGCGAGGCGAACAGTTTCCACTTCCCTGAGGGCAGCCGAGTCGTAAACCCTGGAATACGAGCTGCACATCTGCCGCAGCCGCCTGGGGAGAGCGTTCCCAGGGCTGGAGTCCCATTCTCTCCTGCCTCCATCAATAAAATATAATGGCTTACAGATGGGGAAACTGAGGCCCAGAGGCATTAAGGACTTGCTATACACCTCCAAGTCAAAGAGCATCTTGGCAAGATAGCTGGGACTGGAACCGAGAACTTAGCTTGGACAAAGTTCTCTTCTGCTTCCTGGACCAGGGTCTTCATCTTCCTGGGCTCTGTTGAGGATTGCGGCCCCCCTGCTCTGGTTCCTGGGTGGGCTGAGCC